CCGGGGGGGGGGGGCTGGAGGAAAATTAGGGGGGGTTGCCAAAACAATTTATTGTAATGAAAGGGGGGGTTGCCAAAATTATTTGTGGTAATTATTAATTTTTTTATGTTGACCAGTATGCTTATATTAGTCTGGAAAAATTTTTAGACTATGCTTATGTTAGTCCGAAAATTTTTTTTACCTCCCTCCCCCCCCCCCGGGTTGTGAAAAAAATTGTCGGTTAGAAGGGGGGGTCATGAAAAAATTAACACCTTATTGGGGGGGGGGTCATGGAAAACTTGCACCGTTTCTGCTCTTTTTCCCCCAGCCCACCCTGACGTATAATTAATGAACGGTCCCTAAGACTCTTACGACAAAGTCGCAAAGATAGACTTACTGCGATTTTTGCGATAACGATGTCTGCGTTCCGCGACTATTGCGATGATTACGATTTAATGGAAACCAGGCTTAATTAATCAAACAGGTAACGCCGTAGTTTAATTAATATGTACTTTAATGTTGTAACAAAACAAATGTGAACGGAATTCAGTAACAATGGATTAAATTAAGTTTTTATCTGGCTATACAGATCAAATACATGTGTACCTTCAAAAAATGGGAACAGATTTACTATTTAGCTTGAACATGCCGACACACTGCATGATAAAAATCGATAAATATTGACGAAAATTGATGAATATTGATAATAATCGATAAAAGTGGCCATAACGGTTTGTGACTATTGATTGGTCATTGATTGATTAGGCCAATGGAACTGTAGATTCTGTTTACTGTCCACCGCCCGCATGTGCTTGCAACTACCGCAAGAATTTTTCATTATTCTTAATTATTTTTATTATTTGTCATTATTTTTAATTCTACGCATCGAAACTTTCAAATATACATCAAATCTTCGATATATAAAAAGCCGTACGTCGCTGATGTATGATGGATCAGTCGGCATTTGTTCGGTACGCTCGGAAATTCACGAGTCTGACATGTGCAAATTCGAAAACAATGGCGTGACAAAGAAATTTTCAGCAAAGGAAAGCCCAAAAATGATAAAAGAATGCTGGACAAAAGTGTTGATGGTCGAGATCAAAAGAAAACGATTTAAGGATCATTTTTGGTTGGAAATTAGATAATAACAAAAATAATGAATAATGAAAAAAACCCGCATCAGCTTTTTAAATTCTCGGACGGTAAACAGAATCTACAGTTCCATTGGCCTTAGTTAGATTTCTGATGATCGGTTTTCATCAATTAAGTACGCCAGGTATATAAACAGTAACAATATTGAACACCATTTTTTGGAAATACAAAGAAAATAAACATTTAATAACCCATTGAGTGGCAGCACTCTCCCCTTGACGAGGAAAATTGTCTGGCATTAGACAGAGCAAAATAGTAAAATAGGGCATGTCAGGGCACATCCAAATAATAAAATAGGGCACACCAGGGAGCATTGCCAATTAAAGGGTTAATAGACCTAAAAAGGCAATATTTAATATACTGTACAGCTTGCTGAATAATTGAATTATTAACAAAAAATTTTGAATACACCATTTTTACATAATTTTGTCCCAACAAGACAGGATATTTGGCAGGGTCTGAGATGATGTGCGGACGGGCGCTGGTCACATTGACCAGTTAAGCATGGTTTTGCTTGGACACAACCTGTTTAGGCAGGTCAAATATTAGAGATGAGCCGTTCACCACAATTGCCAATTACTGAGAATTTGTGAAAATGGACCTTTCTGTGAGATAATGTATTAGATAATATATTAAAATTTTTGAAATTTGAAGCCTGGAAATGTCATTACCTGCATTCTGAGCATCCAAATTTGCTCTAAAATTTATGTTAGCTATACTAGTACTTGAAATAAAAGTAGGAAAAACACACAAAAAAATTATTAACAATTATTTATCATTACTTAATAGTGTTAGATAAACATAACAATTTAAGTCAATTTTGTTAAACAAGTACAAAGGATAAAGCCTAAAACTTACTTTCTGTTTATCTATTTATTATTCTTCGCTTGTTTGTTTGTTTGTTTGTTTGTTTGTTTGTTTGTTTGTTTGTTTGTTTGTTTGTTTGTTTGAGAGGGCACAAGGGGGGACTCCTATCTTGTATCTTAAAAAAGGCCCTGGTTAAATTAGTTTGGTTTACTTACTGATGAGTAAAATCGCTCTCTCCTTGATGAGTAAAATCGGCTGGCTTTAGGCAGAGTAAAATGATAAAGTAGGGCACAATGCAACTTAAAGGTTTAAATATCAAAACTAATATTATGGAAAGAAAACCCAAAAATAGTTTTGCTAAAATGTTTTAAAAATTGCCCTTTAATTTAGTATTATACTGACAAGCAACTAAGCTTTCAAAATGTTTCGTCAATCAAACCAAAATAACATCGGATGTTTTTAAATAATATGGAATGATAAATTTAACATCAGAATGGTTAATTTAACTTTGGAATATGTATATTAACAAAAATCTTGTTATGGTCAATTTAATATTTTGCCAATTATCATGCTATTAATTGGCTGATTACCCAATTTTTCACATTGATTGTTGATCACGTTGATTAGCTCTGGAAAATGTCCAGCAGCACCATTGCCAGGAATTTTTGAACAAAATATCTTTGCAGGAAATTTTCTCACACCTTGCAGGAAATTTTTGTCCTCTCGTATACTGGAATGGGTCATTCCAGAAAACATCCGTACCACCCCCACAGAGGAAATCGGAAGTTAACCCCCCTACTCCCTTCGCATGTCCTAATACATTTACTATTATCAGAAACAATATTTTCTCCCTTCCCCCTCCGGACGGCAGAAATTTTCTCCGTGGGGGGAGTATGGATATTTTCTGGAACGACCCAATGACCAATGTCATATAATAGCTGCAATGATTATGTCAAACATATATTATTATAATATAGCATTTGTAAATTCTGAACGCTGATTGGCTAAGAGCCATGTTGATATAACTCCATGTCAACACGGAAACGTTGCAAAATTTTTTCTTTATATTTCTTTGTGCTATATTATAAAATAAATATAAAACATTTTTTCCGTATTGATATATAGTTACAGTATATCAACACTCGTCGAAATTGGGAAAACGAGAAATTGTGTGAAAACACTACGCCATTCAGGCGTCGTGTTTCTACACAATTTCTTGTTTTCCCAATTTCCACTCGTGTTGAATTGTTGATATAACTGTATATCAACATGGAAAATGTTTTATATTTGTTAATTATTAATGCCAGGCAATAGCAAGAGTCAGACTATGATTTATGGATTGAGTTATGTCAATTGTCAACACAAAGTGAATTGGGCAAAACAACTGTTTAACCCATTGAGCGGCAGCACTCTCCCCCTGACAAGTAAAATAGTCTGGCATATTAGACAGAGTAAAACAATAAAGTAGGGTGCATCTGGGTGCATTGCCAATTGAAGGGTTAATTTAACCAGAAAAAGTATTTTCACACACTAAGCAACATTGTAGCTCGAAAATATGAGTGAGCGTCCGCCACCAAGCACTGCAATGGCATAATGAGAAATGTTCGAACCTGCGAGTGGCAAAATTGAGGTGCAGCAGTCTGGGTCGCGACCCCCATGGAAAGCTAGGGGTTGGAAGTTAGAACGGGCCAAAATCAACGACGTGACGTACGTACTATACGTAGTGTACATACTGCATCTGTACAACTCGTCCAATTTTGCCCTTCATTGCAATTACTACAAAGTTGCTTTCAAAACATTGCATTAAAAGGGTACTTGACACAGAGATGAGTGGCTATCACTTTCAATTTTACAGAAAAACTTTCTTACGAAGTGTAGACCCTAAGTTACGAGCCTAGGCAACCAAAAATGTCAAATTTTCACTTTGATTTATCATTGAAACGTTCCCAAGGGGAGGTGCATGACTTTTCAGGGGAGGTGCAAAAATTCTCAGGGGAGGTGCAAAATGTTCTCAGGGGAGGTGCGCACCTCCCCTCAAAATCCGGCCATGGTCACAGCACTGAGTATTTCAGACGCCTTGCAGTGATATTACAGCTTATTGAAAATCACTACACTTTCCTACAATAGTTGTCGGTGCCAAAGCTCCGAGGAAGCAGTTGGGTGCTGGCGGTTCCAACCTCGGTTCCTCTGGATCAAACGACAAACACAGTGGAGGAAATCCTGTAAGGTGGACGCCTACACCTACATGGCAGAAAGGTATGGAGTTGTGAAAATATTAAGAGGCAATTTTTTTCAATGTCGCGTATTTGCGATGCAAACTGTTCAAAACGAAAAATCTTTTTGGCATACATCTCAAAATTGCTGTGTTTTAGCTTTATTCTCTAGCTTATACAATTAGCTGCCTTTTTATATGCATTTGCCGGTTGAGAAACATAAAGTAATAGTAAAACATTGTCAATTGAAATACAATTATTAATGACTCTTTGAAAGTGACGCCATGATTTACAGCAATATAAGCAAAACTTACTGAACTTCAGACATCATTTTCTCTTTGGCATACCATCTAAAATCTCTTAATTTTAGCATCATTTTACTGATAAATCACCAAACATACTTTTTAAGTTTGTTTGCCCCTTGAGAAACGTATCAAAAATTAAAAATAGGTACGCAGTGCGTACATGTTGCATGCCTCAAAAAGCTCCAGGCCGATTTCCATTCAGTGCAAAATATCGCGAGATCAACTTTTTGCGATCACTATCTTTTCAAATCTGCCCAGTCAACGTGATCCGTTGCGTTTGATTGCTTGTATTTCAAAAGAAAGTGATCGCAAAATGTCGATCGCGCGACATTTTGCACCGAATGAAAATCCGCCTTTATGGTGCGCAAGCGCTTATAAATTTTGTTACAACTGGCCTGAAACTTAACATATTGATTCAATAAGTTTAATATCAATATATTCATTGAAAAATAGCTATTATGTCAAAATAACAAAACTTAACTAGATTTTCACAGGAATGAGCAATGTTTTTATGAGCGGCTGTTCATCTGTAGTTGCAAGGGACGGTAATAACAAGGTCAACTGGTCAAGGTTTTATGACTGATTGACTATTTGAAGGGGCAGTTAACATAGATATCTTATATACACTAGATAGCACATCTCTTTTAGTAAAATTGAAGCCAAGAGTATTCCAGCGGTTACCCCTATTTGAACAGATGGCGGCAATGTTGGAGTTTCCCACTCGCTAATAAACGCTTAAAAAACAACAATAATTTTCATCATTTGAATAGTTTGAAAATGTATTTGGAATAGGTTTAACTTAATGTTTAAGTTCCCTGTTTAAGAAATAGAAAAATACGAGTCTTCTCATTTCATGGGAATATCCTGAGTCTGCAATCACGTCTTCAATTTTTGAATTGCAGAATGAGTAGATGCACTATCTAATGTATATAAGATATCTATGGGGTGTAACCCCCCCCCCCCCCATTCATCACAGATGCGGCAAATGCTAGATGAAATCGGCAAATGACGATATGTCGGGAAATATTTGTGTATTTTCGAAAAAGTTACGATATGTCCGGAAAAAATTGTATGTCCGGAAAATATTTCGCGACACTTTTGGGAAAAGAAATATTAATTAGTGACTCGGCAAAATTAACTTACCCCCCTCCCCCCCATTCAAAGAGGTCTAGCCGTCTAGCGCCCGACGCCCCTGAACCTAAAGTATACATTTGTCTGTTTTTAATGCGCAAAACAATGTCAGGTGACTTCAAAAGCATTTCAAAAGTTTCAACTGAGTTTAGCTCAGCTGGCGCTAGGTCACGAGAAGTCGCTTAAGCGACACGATACTGAAATTCCAACTGAAATTCCCAATTTTATTAAATTGCCGAATTTTTTAATCTTTTGGTACCCTGTATATAGCTTAGTTTATATTGCTGTAAATATGGCATCGCTTTTAAAGCATCATCGATAATTGTATTTAATTTGTCAATTTTTTTACTATTTTATGTTTTTCAACCGCGGCAAATACATTTAAGAAAGGTAGCTAACTGTATAACTAGAAAATAAAGCTAAAACAAAGCATTTTTGAGAGGTACACCAAAAATATTTTCGTTTTTGAACACTTCATCTCAAATATGCGACATGAAAAAATTGATAGGTGAAAAATGTTACCCACTACCCGTCAACCGAAACTCGGAATATTTAGTCGAATATTTAACACGCTCAGCCATTGGGCTGAGCCTTATATTCCCGCCCATTTCATGTATTTCTGACAATAAATCTATGTACCATGCATGCATGCATGGTTTGAACGAGTGCATGCCTAATTGATAAAAATATTTTAAAATATTTTTGTTCTAGGTATTGGTAATTTCTTCCAAAAAGGTGATGCTTCGAATGGTGAAAATTCATGTGAGCCAAATAATGACACTACATCAAGTACCGAGAGTTCAACACCTTCCTCAGAAGTTATTTCTTTAGAGCCAAATAATGATACTACACCAAGTACTCAGAGTTCAGAAACTGGTTCAGAGCCTTCCTCGGAAATTATTTCGTTAGAAGACTGAGATCGTTCGAATTTTGGCAGAAGTGGCTTAACCGGTTAGACGAATTGTAATATAATGGACTGTAATATACTATATTTAAAACTTTCTTATATCTTTTTTTGCTTTTGTTTGAAATATTTTAGTTTAGTTTGATATGTAGTAAATTAAATATTCTCTATGGTTTCGAGTGCAATTTGGACTGTAAAATTTAAACATGCACGAGTGAGTTGAAATAGCACTAGTCCTTCGGACTAGTGCTATTTGAGGTCTTTGAAAAACTTACGAGTGCTTGTTTTATACAAATGTCACGAGAAACCATCCTATATTACGCCTTACGGATTAATAATATACATAAAAATGTTCGAGACAATTGTACTTTTAATTTATAGCGAACCGTCCACTTACAACGTTTTTCTGCTTTGTTATATCACATGCAATGCTAACGTAAGTTCTGCTAGTCTTGTTTAAGGTAAAAGTTTTTCCATTTAAAAAAAATAAATCAACTTTTACTTACTTTATGTAGCGCGGCCGCCATGTTTGTTTTATTTTGAAGCAATCTGTGACCGTTACTTGACGACTGCTTTAAGCTGATTGGTTGATCACTTGATTTTAAATCGCATTGTTTTTTCCACCATGTTTGTTACAGATTTTTGCACTGCTGTTTGATATTTATAAACTGCACTAAAATCAACCAATCACAGTCGAGTAATATTTTTATGTGTATTATTAGGTAGAGAAACAGCACACCGCTGGTGAAATATTTGTCCTTGCAAAACTATTCAAATTTAATTGGGTTTTTTACTCCTAGTATAAAGTATAAAACAAATCAAAGGCCGTTGAGGGCGACAAACGGATGAGATCAAATGAAAGTGACAGAAAGAATTAGAGCAGTTTGCAGTTGTTTTTGCAAACGGGACCGTGCGAATTTTGGCATTTGTCGTACTCCTTTCGCCAAATCAAAAGAACGAACGCGTGCCCCAGCCCGATTCGCAGGCAAACAGTGCGCGCAAATGGTCTTGGTCATTTCCCATTGTTTAACTGCCCCACACTCAAGTATAACCACAAAGACTCGTATCCGTGAGTCAAAAATGAAAACATCCCGAAAACAATTTTGTAAAAATGCTGATGATTCTGGAATGACTAATGGCTGGAGATATAACCATTCAAATACATTTACGTGTTTCTAGTGCATATTTTGCTTGGGTTTTCAAGATATTTACATGATTTCAGCCGAGCTGGGTACAATGGTACATTCCATGTAAGCTCCAGGCCATGTCAAATTTTGTGTGTGTGTTTTTTTACATACGCTGTAAATATACACATGTCAATGAACTTAGGCACAAATTAAGAAACCTCTTAATCCAGAACATAAGTTGAACAGTCTTATCCATGACGGACGTGAAGATTTACGTTCTTAACGCCTGCACAAAGAACTAGATTACGTAATATTTTTATCCCTTCAAGTATATTGTAGCATATAACGATTCTTTGTAAACACAATTTCTTAATATTATACTGTATATTAGCTTTTACCATGTATTTTAAATGTAAACTCTGTACAATTCAGCTGTTAGTTCATTAATTGCCATTTAGATTTTTAATAAATTCAATAAAAAAAAAAGTATACGTTAATCACTTCTGTTGAATGATCTGACTAGGAGCGGATCTAGCCTCGTCTGCAAGGAGGGGTGCAGGTTTTGCATGAGGCAGCCTTACTGCTCACTCTCTGCAATCTGCATGCAACGCTATAGACTTGCCACAAGTCGACCATGGGGGAGGCCGGGCGCGGAGGAGGGAGCGCGCGACAAGTGAAGCGCGCTATAGAAGGGTCTGGAAAGGACTTTGGAAAGTCTAGCAACGCTACTATCCTAACATTACCATTATTTGAGATGGCCGAATCTGCATGTTCGCCGTTCTGTTACGTTTTACATTATGTTTTGTTTATAAAGTTTATATCAGCTTTTTATCACATGCGTGGCTGGACAGATGCTACAGCACAGTACAGTGAATGTGTTTGGTAAAGTACAGTATTTGAAAGTATGGCTGTTTGATAACCTCGACATGTTTATATATTTAACCATGATTTTAACTAAAATATCCTAAGTATTTCTCGTGAGCTCACAAATCAGTTATCACGTTTAATTTCAAGAAATCGACATGCGCTAACAGTAGAAGTTCCGCTATTCGCTGGAAAGCAGAATGTATGGTTAAGCAGTTTTTTTAGGGAGTGGGTGGTAGACAAAAACTGCACAGTTCGAAAATATGTTCGTAAACCGCAAAATCGGTGAAAACGTTATGCGGGGTCTGCTATTGCCAGGGCATTTTTTAACTATATATACTGGGGCATTTACCCCAGTAGGCCTTTGCTTTCCCCAGTAGTGAATCATACGGTGGCCCATACGGGCCAACCCTTCTCCGTAGAAACTTGCACCTTCTCCGTACAAATGTGTTGTTATTCCATGGAAATCCAACTTCTCCGTGGAATATTGCAGTTGTTCTGTCACGAAAAGCCTTTTCTCCGTACAAATATGCAGTTTCTCCGTGGAAACACGCATCTTCTCCGTGGAAACACGCAGCTTTTCTGTGGAAACACTGCAGCTTCTCCGCGGAAACGCGTAGCATTTCTGTGAAACACGTTGCGGTGGCCCGAACGGGGCACCTCTTCTCCGCAGAAACATGCAGCTTCTCCGTAGAAACACGTGCCTTCTCCGTGGATGAGCACTTTCCTTGTGAATTAAAAAAGGCACGCCCCCCTGAATATTTATTGTTTTATACGACGGGG